CATTGTGCTAAAAAGAAAAAAAACAAAGTTCTAATCGAATTTCTATTAAAATCTATAACTTACCAATTAAATTTTTATCTCCAATTGATTGTTTAAGACAATAATCATATAATTCTTTACTTATTGTTTTACGTTTATAATAGAGATCATAAACATAACGTGATTTTTGATGATGAATTTTAAATATTGGCCATAAAGTTTCAACTTTACGTTTACCTTCATGTGGTGCTAATTCTGCTTCACGCATTTTAGCTTCTAATTCATCCAATGTTGGTTCAATTAAATCCCTAAAACAAAGAAACAAAACTCAATAAATATAACATTTCTTTTTCGTTTATTAAACAGAAAAAAAAAACGAAACTTACCATCCATCTGGTGGTGGTTTAGAACCTTTCCGAACTTTGACCATCTTTCGTCGTTAATAATAATAAATAAATCTACAAGACAATTGTGCAAGAGTTATATTTTATTTTGCTTGCGCAATACATTCACACATAGTTCTTGCTGGCTTTTTTTATATATTATTTTTCTTTTTCAATCCTATCTTTTTTTTTTTTGTTCTCTTCGCTGTCTCTCAAACAAACTACTACATTTCTTTTTTTTCTAATCACGCCAAAAAAAGAGAGAGAGAGAGAGGGAAACAAAGAACAACAAAAAAACATACACACATACATAAGCATTAGACATACACACATAGAGAAAGAAAGAAAGAAAGACAAAAAGAAAAAGCACGACTATGAATAATATTGTTCTGATATCTTCGACGACAAACAAGCAAGATTGTTATGGTTTAGTTCGACGTTTAGCTTTGATAACATGACGTTTACTTGTAGGCTCTTCACTGACACTGAAAGGACTAAAATATATGACAAAATAAAAAGTAATTCATTCGTTTCTTTTTTTCCAAATTATTCTTACTTATTTTCAGGTGTCGGAGCAGCTGCAGGAAAACCAGCTGAGAATGAATTATTGACGGTTGTTGATGGTGTTGCACTAAATTGAAATGGAGTATTACTTGTAGGAGCTGTTGATCCTGCACCAAAACTAAATGAAGGTGCTGCACCGAATCCAAATGTTGGTGGTGGTGCTGCTGCTGCTGCTGGTGCTGTTGATGAAGGTGCAAATGAAAAACCACTTGTTGTTGAAGTTGGTGGATTTGATGTTTGAATAGGATTTGTGGTTGTATTTGATGTAGCTCCAAATGCAAACAATGGTGGTGTAGTTGATGTTGAACCAAAACTTGAAAATGATGGTATTGAAGTTGATGGTTTATCAATTGTTGTTAGAGGAGCACCAAATGAAGCTGTTGCACCAAATGCTGGTGTAGGAGTTGTACTACTTGATGATATAACTGAAGGTGCAAATGGTTTTGGTGGACTACTAGCACCGAACGCAAATGTTGTACTATTTGATGTTGTTGTTGTCGTTCCCATTGATGGAAAACTGAAACCTGATGAAGATGATAAACCACTACCAAATAAAGGAAGAGCTGATGTTGTTGCTGTTGTCGTTGTTGTTGTTGTATTAAAAGGTATTGATGTAGATTGAAAACTACTTGGAAATACAAGTCCACTTGTTGTTGTTGTTGTTGTTGCTGTAGGAATTGGCAATGTTAAAGGAGTAGTAGTTGCCGTTGGTGCTGTTGTATTTGATGAAAAAGCAAATAAACTTGGAGTTATTGATGGAGTTGTAGTTGTTGCTGTTGTTGATGATGGTAATGTTAATGATGGAGCTGAAATATTTGTTCCAAATGAAAATAGAGGTGGTTTATCGGTTGAAACTGTTGAAGTAGACAAAGTAGTCGCAGCTGTTGCTGCTGTTGGAGCATTACCAAATGTTCCAAATGTGATTGATGTTGTGACTTTTGTTGGTGATGATGGTGTTGTTGTTGTTGTTATAATTGAAGGTACAGTTGCAGTAGTCGTTGTTGTAGCAGTACTTGTGGATGTTAATGAACCAAAAGATGGTTGAAATGTTGAAGTAGTATTTGTACCAAGTTGAAAAAGATTATTTGAAGTAGTTGTTGCTGGTTTATCTAAATTAGCTGTTGTTGTACCAAATAAAGGAGTAGTTGTTGTACCAAATAATGGTGTAGTTGTTGTGCCAAATAATGGTGTTGTTGTTGTTGTTGTTGTTGGTATTGTTGAAGAAAATAGAGCACTAGTAGTTAGAGTTGGAATGGTAACAATATTTTCTTTATTAGTAGTAATAGTAGTTGGTGTTGGTGTTATACCGACTGATGGAAGAGTATTGGTAGTAGAAAATGGAACAGTTGTTGTTATAACTGGTGGAATTGAAAGTGTACTTTCTTTAGTTGCTGTTGTTATTGCTAGTGATGATGATGTTACGATTGATGTTGATTCGATTTGAATCGTTGTTTGAGTAGTAGTAACTGGTTTTGGTACAGTAGGTTCTTCAATAATAATATCAGGTAATTTAGTTGATGATGGTGCTGGTGCAGGTTCAATTGCTAAAAGGAAAATAGAAGACATGTGTTTGTTTTTATATTTGATCAATAGACTAACCACTTAATCGTTTATAATTTGGATTAATTCCATGACAAAGTGAACATGATGCTGTTTGAGCTGGATGTTCCATTGTACATGAAGGACATTTCCATACTGGTCCACTAACTGGTTTTGTTGGACGTGGTGGTGAAACATTAAATATTGAAACTTTTGGAATTGTACTACTAACATTTGTTTGTGGAACTATTGAAGGAGTAATATTAACATTTGATTTTTCAATAACAGAAGAAACAGTTGATTTTGATTGTTGAGTAGATACTAAAAATATTAACATAAGATTACTAAAAGATTTAAAGAAAAAATACGTACCAGCATCCGTATGACATTTTTCGGGATGTTTTTTTGCATAATCTTCTTGTGCTCGTGCAAATTTTGGCCATGAAAATGGTGTTATATTACTAAGTACCTAAAATATAAAATATTCATACTCAAAAAAAAAATTTTTTTTGATTATTTTTTTTTACTTACCTTTGGTTTTGTAATATCATTTATTGATTGAATTGGTTCAAGAGTAATTGAACTATTTGTTTGAATAGATGAATCTGTTTGACATGTTGATTGTATTTTTTCAATAGTTGGTCCTGATAATGCTTCATTTCGAATATCTGCTGGTGGAAATGTACGTTGAATTTTTTTATTTGGTTCTATTGAATCATTTGTAGTTGAAATCTACAAAACATTATTTTATTAAATTATGACAATGAATGGAGTTTTTTTTCCTTCTTATCATGTAAAACTTACATTACATTGAATACCACATTCTTTTTCAGGTGCTTTGATTGGTTTTCGTATTGGTGATGCAGTTGTTGATGTATGCTCTTCAATTGTTGATATAGATAATCTAAAATAAAAATTAGTATTCATTTATTTTATGATTAGATTTTTTAGAATAATTACGGTTCACTATCAAGTGTTCGATTAAGACGTATACAATCTTGTAATGTTCGTCGTCGAAGTCTTTCAATATAAGGTAAACGACGTGAATTAATTGATGCATAATTAACACCGAACATTTGTCGTTCATTTGATAACTAAAAATTAGATAGATTTTCAAAAAATTAATCTTTTATTTTATTTTATTTTATCTTACTAATCGATTTGTTGAATTAGATGAAGATTGTTGAGTATTTTGTATTGTTGGTTGAGATCGATTAACTAAACCTGTTGCTAATAAATAATTAGCGGAAAATTCATTTATCTGAAAAAAAAAGAAAACTTTTCTTTGTAAAGAAATTTTCATGTTGTTCTTTTTTTTTTTGATTACAAACATTTGATTTGAGATTTGTTGTCGTTCGATTTGGTGACATGGTTGTTTCAGTTGTTTTCTAATACAAAAATATCATATGTTCTTTTTTTTGTTTGTATACAGTAAAAATGCCTTACTCGAATACCAACAGAAAAAAGAGGTGATTGAGATGGATCATAATTCGATGTTAACCCTCGATTAGTTGAGGGAATATTAAAACGTCGTTTAGATGATGTCGATCGATTTATTTCTTCATTATGTTTTTGTTCAGTAGATTTTTGAAGAAGAACATGTGTCGTATTAGCTGTATTTAATTCATTATCTATTATTCGACGATTTGATGACGATTCAACACTGTTTGTCGAAGCTATTAAAAAGTATAATAAAAAAATAAATAAAAAGATAATTGATGGAAATGGAAACAATTAGACATACTTAAAGGTAAAGATGTTTTCTCATCTTCATGATTACCATTCGTCGTTGTCGTCGAAATAATATGTTGATAATTAGCTGTACGACGCCGCTTCTTCTGTTGGTCGATTTCTATTAGATCTCGTTCAGTAGATGATACATCTCTATTAGTGTTGTCTTCGTCATCAGTTAATTGTGGTTCATCATTTGTTATCGGTTGACGATGATCTATAATGATAAACAAAATTAATTGCTTTTAAATAAGACATTAGTATTTTTTATTTGAAAAGCATGAAAATAGCCATCTATTGCCTTTCTTGTTGACAAAACTATCATCATCTAATATTTAGAAAGAAAAAAAAGAAATATCTTACATTTTGACTTGGAAGTTGTCGAATGACCATTAGTAGTAGTTGTTGTTGTTTTTGTCATAGTGCTTTCTGGTTGTTGTTCATCACTATTTTCTTCCATAGATATTTCTCGTTTTCGTTTCTAAAAATCAGAATAGTAAGAAAAAAAAACCACACCAAGGTTGTATTTTCACTTACAGGACGATTTGTATCACCACTGGTCGAAAATAAGAAAGAAGGATGAAGAAGTTTCGAAACGACATCTTTAACTTTATGCATCATACTCTGTTAATAGAAAGTATGATAAATTTATGCATATATATTTTCTAAAATCAAACCTCATTGTGTTGATTAAAAGATGAATTCTGTTCATTGTCATCATCATTATCAGATTCTGACATAGGAACAGAAGCAGAATGGTTATTGCGATTAGCAAAAGTTGGCATTATTGAAAAATGAATTAAAGCAAACTGAAAACATGTGAAAATCAAAAAAAAATATGCAAATATAATAACATCAACAAGACAATGACATTTTGTCAAACGTACTTACATATAAAGGGATAAATGTAAATACAACACTAATATAGTATCTAAAGGAAAAAAAATATATAGTGAGACTTGGGAATACATTGTTAGAACGAGTAATAGATGACTCACAAGTATCCACTAATAATTCTTTCGTTCGTTCGTTGTCGCCTTGCGAAACAAACAACGAAAAAAAAGGTGGCCATTGTCTGACATATCAAGGACACCAATAAAGTGAATTGAAGATTTACGTATGGTGAGTAACGAAAATATCATTTTCTTTAACTAGATATTGAAATACCACGAAAAACAAAGATAGTCTTTTGATACTTATATATAGATGTCAC